CAACATCACTCAGCATTCTGGAAATGCAAATCAAAACCACACTGAGATACCATCTCACCCCCGTTCGGATGGCTAATATCCAAAAGACTGTGAACGATAAATGCTGGCGAGGTTGCAGAGAAAAAGGAATTCTCATACATTGTTGGTGGGACTGCAAAATGGTGCAGCCTCTATGGAAAATGGTATGGAGGTTCCTCAAACAATTGCAGATAGATCTACCATACGAGCCAGCTATCACACTGCTGGGAATATACCCAGAAGAATGGAAGTCATCACGTCCGAAGGTATACCTGTTCCCCAATGTTCATTGCAGAACTCTTTACAATAGGCAAGAGTTGGAACCAGCCCAAATGTCTATCATCGGATGAGTGGATACGGAAAATGTGGTATATATACACAATGGAATACTACTCAGCTGTAAAAAAGAATGAAATACTGCCTTTTGCAACCACATGGATGGACCTAGAGAGAATTATATTAAGTGAAACAAGTCAGTCACAGAAAGAGAAATATCACATGTTCTCACTTATTGGTGGTAGCTAAAAATAAATAAATAAATTCACACACACGCACATACACAAAAAACTGGGGTGGGGGCGGAAGAAAACATAACAATTGCCAATTCCTTGAAATTGATATGATAATCATACAGAAAGGACATTGTTGGAAGGGAGGGGGGAGAGGGAGGAGGGAGGGAGGTTTTTTTAATGGGCCACAATAATCAACCACGTTGTACATCGACAAAATAACATTAAATAAAAATTTAAAAAATAAACTGTAAAAATTACCCTCCCATTCTGCTCTATATCCTGTTCCCCCAATTATTGCATGTTAAGACAAATTATAAACTATCAAGATATCCAAAACACAGAAATATTTAATATTTGTAGATGCCAATTTGAAACTTTCAGTTATAAGGACTTATAAAACAAAATATATCAAAATTAAAGTCTCGAAGAAAATCCAAGTTTTTTTCAAAATCCCATCACATAAAACAGAATTATCTTGGAAACAACAACATACAATTCTCAACAGGTTTAATAATGAATCAATAGTTTAACAAATATGAATACCTGTTATGTCCTAGCCTTATATGGAAATCATCCAATAAAATATACCTTTACAAGACAGTAAGATAAGTGCTACAATGATACTATAGGAAATGTAGAAAAGATGCATAACACAGATTGGAGAGTCAGGGAGGCATCTAGCAGAAGTGATGTCTAAACAGGAATGGTAAACTGGAATGATCTACAGTTAGCTAAAGAGTAGTTTGGAAGGAGGGGTTACAGGGAAGAAGGAGAAAATAATCTAGGCAAAAACTACAAAGTACCAAGGCCAGAAAATGAGAGAAGATCTGTTCAAATAACTTTTTTTCTTTTTTTTTTTTTTCGTGACCGGTAACGGGATCGCAACCCTCAGTGTCGTGCCCATACCGCGACCGGCAACGGGATTGCAACCCTCGGTGTCGCGCCCACACCGCGCTCAACCAGTGAGCGGACCGGTCTGTATATGGGATCCGAACCCTCAGCGGGAGCGTCACCACACTCCCAAGTGCCGCACTCTACCGAGTGCGCCACCGGGCCGGCCCTCAAATAACTTAAAGAGTTCAATTATACTAGAAGACAGAACAGAAAGTGAGGAGTAGCAACAGATGTTGTAAGAGATGACAGGGAAAGAGCCATATAGAAGAGTTTGGATTTTATCCCAAAAGTACTAGGGAGAACACCATGTGAATCACACAGGGAGAACACCATATGACAACAGAGGCAGAGACTGAAGTGATGGCACTACAAGCCAAGGCATGCCATAGACTGACAGTCACTACCAGAAGCTAGGAAGAAGCAAAGAAGGATTCTACCCTCTAGGTTTCAGAGGGAGCATGGATCTACTGACAACTTGATTTTGCCTTCTAGCTTCCAGAACTGTGAGACAAAAAAAATATGTTACTTTAAACCACAGAGTATGTGGTACTTTTTTTTACAGCAGCCCTAGGAAACTAACACAGCCATCTGTTAATAATTACCTAGTCTAGATAAATTTTGCTTTCTTTGAGGATTACCATGGAGAAAAGAATTACAAGGTGTCTATGAAAAAAAAGAAAGAAAGAAAGAAAGAAAGAAAGAAAGAAAGAAAGAAAGAAAGAAAGACCCATAGGAAAAAAAGGAAAAGAATAGCATCCAGGAAACCATTTTATAAAATATACCTCAGAAATGATTTACTACAGGATTCAGAAAAAACTTTCAGGAAAATTGCTTCTATACAAGAATACAAGAATTTATACCTTCATTACTCACCTTTCAGAAACATGAAAAAACTAAACCAATTGCACTTTTAAAAATAACTTATATTTATAAAATTAGATGATATTGACACACCTGATTGAAGTCCAAAAAAGAGTTCCTCATCTTGAAGTAGTTCTTGAACACAATCTAATCTCATGTTAATGGTTTCAATATCAATTAGAGGTTCTAATATATTAGCACGAAGTCGTCTACTTCCTCCAGGAGTCTTAGTATAATTTAGAACACCAAAGAGAGTATGATTATTCCTTTGAAAACACAAGTTAGGGAATTTCATTATGTATACAAAGTAAAATCCAAGAAAACTGCATCCTAACTTTGTAATTAAATAATCCTATAATCTACAGCAGTGATTCTCAGACTTTATTGTGCATACAAATTACATGAGGATTCTAATTTAATAGGCCTGGGAGGGCCTGAGACTATACCTTTTTTGCATGTGCGTGTATGTTTTATTTGATTTTTTTTTTTCATTTTTGTTTTTTTCTTTCGTATTTTTTTTCTCTTTCTGATTTATACTTTAATGGCTGTGCACATCCTGGTCCCTCATTTCTGCCGCTCACAGGCCCAGTGCTCCGGGGTTGGGCTTTTCTGCTTGAAGGCATGGATGCACAGGACCTCTTCCGCTAGGCATGCGTTCTGAAGCAGGATGCACAACAGTTGAGAATCGTGTCCACCCCATGTTCTCCACCTCCAGGTCCTGCTGCAGCTTCTCCCGGAGGTAGTCAATGCTGAGTTCCATTGCAGCAGTCCAGCAGGGACTGCAGCTCAGCGGGGACTGAATCCCAGCTAGGACCCCCCCACACACACTCAGAATCTTATTTTGAATAAGCTCACAGGTAAGCTGTCAGTCAATGAACTACACTTTGATTAACAAGTATCTCCTTGTCCTTAGTTAATGACTTCTTTCATAGGTCAGTTACAATATTAGGGATATTATAAAGTTTTCTAAGTCCATGACATTCCATCAGTAATAATAAGATATCAATAACATATTCTTAAAGGAGGGGGGACTTTTAAATATAACCACTTATATTTAATATAACCACTTTGTTTTAACTTAAGGAATTAGAGAAGAACTACAAGTAAAAGAGAACTTCATAATTGCTAAGTAATTCTTATAAAGAAATGAGATATGATGCATTTCATTGGACTATTTGGAAATTATGATGCATGTAAAAAAGCTGCTTCATTTTAATATTCAATAAATATTTATTAAGCCCTGCAGTGTTCAAAACTCTGTGCTAAGCACTGGACATGCAAGACAGACATTATTCCTATCTTCATGGACCTTCCAGTCTAGTGGCTGATTGCCAATAATTTTAATGTTTACTGGCCATGACTAAGGGCAAGACAAACAGTTGGGAGATACAGACAATAAACACATAATTATATAAGGAAAGAAAATAATTTCAGTTACAGAAACTGCCAAAAACAACAACTGGAATGTACAGAGAAGGGCCAGTAGGGATACTTTAGTTAGGTTGATTGAGAAAAACCTTTCAGTGTGTTTGACAGCTGAGAACTAAATGATCAAAAAGGGAGGCAGTGATACAAATATGATGATGGTATGGTAATCACGATGATGATGAATTGAACACTTAAATGTACTGGGAATTGTTCTAAGCACTTTACTTGTATTAACTCATTTAATTCAAACTACCATGGTATGAGGTAGATGCAGGTAGACGCTAGTATTAGCCACATCTCACAACCGAAGGAACTGAAGCACAAGAAAATTATGTAATTTAATTTTCCAAGGTTTCCAAGCAAGTAGTATGGCAGCAATTTAACCCAGAAAGTCTGGCTCTGGAACCAGAAAGATCAAGGTTTGCAGGCCTTTGTTAAGAATGGAGAAAGATCAGTGAAGAAGTAGGTAGAGGCCAATATATAGAAGTCCTGTAGGTCATGGTAAAGAGGTCTGGATTCTATTCTAAATGTACACAGTGCCACTGGTAGGTTTTAAACAGGGGAGTTACAAAATCTGATTTCTGCATTAAAAGCATCACACTTGAGCTACTATGTCAAGAACAGACTAATTGTAGGAGGGTAAGAAGGCAGAGAGACAAGTTAGAAGGCTATTATAGAAGTCCAGTCTAAAGACAATAAGAGTTTTGGTTAGGGTGGTAGCCTTGGAAATGGTAAGAAGTGATCCAGAATTGGTATATACACTGAGGGCTGAGCCAAGAGGACTTACTGATATATTAAATCTGAAGTGCAAGAGGAAAGGAAACAAGAATACTACCAGATATTGGCATACCAATTAAAACAAATCTTTAGGGAACGGGCTGAGCCAAGAGGACTTACTGATATATTAAATCTGAAGTGCAAGGGGAAAGGAAACAAGAATACTACCAGATATTGGCATACCAATTAAAACAAATCTTTAGGGAACTATTTGAATAAACTGGCTGGGGGTCTCTCATCACATGCACAGTTTTTTACTTTTTTGAGAACTTGGTTTCTGCAGGAACAAAGGAAGTGAGGAACACACATGAATCTGCCATTTGCTACACAAATCAATGGATATAACAGTACACTGAACAGATGACAAGCCTATGGAAGCATTAGAGCTATTCAGATAGTTCAGTAGATAGAATATCCATTGTTTAACCTGAGCATCTTTGGTTCAAGTCTGTGAAAATACTTCTCTATTCTCCTTTTCATCTGTAATAGGAACTCCTGGAGATCGCATATTCTATCAATTAAGTCTCTGTATCCCTAATATGTAGCAGGAACTCAAGCAATGTTTGACAATGATAATGATAAATAATAATGAACTATGAAACATGACAAGGTAAAACTGAACATGAAAAACTGTAATAATTACCAGGCTCGGTCATTGCTTTCTATGCTATAGTAACATATTATAAAATAATAGAAAGTCAATGACAGAATAATTTTAACCCATATCCTAATGAGTGTGAAGTGGTATCTGTTGTGTTTATTTGCATTCCCTAATGACTAGTGATACTGAGCATTTTTCATATTGGCCATTTGTTTATCTTTGGAGAAATGTTTGTTTTTTTGTCATTTAGAACAAATATCTTTTTAAAACCTTATTTTGGTGAAACATCTGAACAGTTCAGCAACAACAGTACAATCGTTAAAAATATGCTTATTGAATATTTGTCCGTCATTGGAAAGAACTTTAGAGTAACTATTCATAGAAAATATGACAATAGAATATACTGATACATTTTGTAAGAAAAAAATTGGATGATCTTACCTGCAGTCTTGATTATTAATTAACAATTCAAGGTTTTGGGCTGATGATGAATCTATCATGGCTGTCTGTTCACTACCCTGGAAACAAATCTTCAGCGACTTTGGTGCATAAACTAAATTTTGAATAAATTCAACATATTTTAACAAAGCTGCAACAGCTGCAAGGCAGTAATACCTGTAAGGTGACCATTGATAATATGACAAGTCTTTAAAATTAAAAAAAAATCGCTATAAAAGGAAACATTTATTTCAACTTAATTTTAGGAAAATTATAAATATTTACATGGCACTGCTTAAATTCAAAAGGAAAAAAGGTGTACCAAGTGTTCCTTATTTTTGAAAAGTAGGTAAATAACCTCCGAACCATAAACATAGACAATTTTTTGAAGTCTGACACTTAAGGGATATTAGACTACAATAAATAGTGTGTTAAAAGACAACATTCAGGGCTAGCCTGGTGGTGCACTGGAGAGTGCGCCGCTTGGGAGCGTGGCGGTGCTCCCACCGAGGGTTCGGATCCTATGTGGAGACCGGTTCCCACTCACTGGCTGAGCGCGGTGCGGGCGCGACACCGAGGGTTGCGATCCCGTTACCGGTCAGTAAAAAAGACAAAAAAAGACAACATTCAGGGCTAGCCTGGTGGTGCACTGGAGAGTGCGCCGCTTGGGAGCGTGGCGGTGCTCCCACCGAGGGTTCGGATCCTATGTGGAGACCGGTTCCCACTCACTGGCTGAGCGCGGTGCGGGCGCGACACCGAGGGTTGCGATCCCGTTACCGGTCAGTAAAAAAGACAAAAAAAGACAACATTCAGTGGTAACTTGTGTCAGATTTTAATGTACCACTCTAAGTATTGAAATAATGTTGCAAGAGTCTAAGACTTTAAAGGTAGAGTCAGAAGTTCCCAATATGTAGGAAAGTATGTTATGATCTTGGTGAGAATAGCCATTTTGATTAACTCAGTAAACAGGTGGTCCAACCTGGCTCAAAGAAAGTATCTATCTAGCATACTCTAAGAAATGTATGTATCAAAAATATTATTCCCTATCTCATGCTAAATCTTTTAGGAATAAAGGTATGAAGTAACAGGAACACAGCTTTAACTGGGTTTCACTTCTGTGCCGTCACATTTCTAGTTTACTGTAGCTACTTAAGCTTTTCACTTTAAATTGCACAACAACCGTTAGGGCAATAGATTATGACTTATTTGTAGAAATTCTATATAAATTAAATTAGCAATATATGACTCGTGTATAAATTTTAGTTAACCACCTTACTATTTCAATTATCACTGTGTGTATTATGAGCCAGGCACTTTTCTAGGTTATAGGGATACAATAAAGAACAAAGCAAGATATTTTGGACAAAAGTTCCTGCTGTCATGGAATTCACACTCAAGATTTATTACTTTCATTATGTCGTAACTTACTTGGACTGAACTTCCATTAGGACAGTGCTGAATTCTGCTATGCATAACTGTTCAATGTACTCTAATCCTTTTGTTTCATTGAAGTATTTCCTTTGGATAGTAGTGAAATTAACACTCTGAAAAGAAGTTTGAAATTCAAAATAAAGTTTTAAGTACCATGTGCTTGCTGAACACTGCTTTCTTAAACCCATGCTGGTACATGGGTAGGTGGCTCAAATATTGTATAAATTTTATTTTTTAACATCTTCAGTAAAAAATAGAGTCTCTGCCTTCTAGTAATTTTATCCTATAGAAACAACATCACACAAGTTTTACACTCAGCCTTCCATACTGCATAATAATTGAGAAAATGTAGATTCTTATAGAGTGCTAGTTGAGAAAATGTAAACACCAACTCCAACCATCTTATCTATGAAATGCTATTTATATTAGGTGAGTTTATTTAGAATAAAAAAAGAGAGAAAGAATGCAACTTTTAAAAAAGAGCAAGAAAAAAAAAGCATGAATAAAAAGGTTTACCTAATTTGAATAAAAGTAGTTGGTAAGAAAAGCAATATAACAATTGTGAAAAAGCTGTTAAGGCTGAAAAAAAAAATCATGAGCACATAGTTAACTCATGTGCCAAGATTGATTTCAAAATTACCTCATTTAATCTTCACAAGAACACTCTGACTTAACTCTTATTAATTCCAATTTTCCTATAAGTAAAATTCTGAAAAGTCAAGCAACTTTTCTAATACCATATAGTTTACATGTGCCAGAGCTGAGACTCAAATTTCAGATTTCTTTGACTACAAAGTCCATGTTACTTTCACTTCATATTGCTTCTGATTTAATGAAGGTCTTTTTATGGTAAGTGTGGTAATAACAATAATAGTAATAATAATAATACTGATTTTTCCCTCTGCTTGTATGTAATACCATTACCTCAAATACCTCCATGGCTTGTTCTCTCACTCCACTGAGAACTTGCTGATATATAACCTTATCAATGAGGCCATCTCTTATTACCTTATATAAAATATCACTGCTCTAGAAGGTAGTTACTATTATTGCCCTCAACTTACTGATGAAAAACACTGAAGCTCAAAGAGGTTAAGTAATTCAATTTTTACAAGGTCACTTAGAGTCAAAATTTGAAACCAGGACAGTCTGATTCCTCTATTCATAAAAACTATGCTATACCGCCTTACATCTCAAGTGTACATTCTAGGGATGTGGCTGTGAGCTATTAGAAACTATATTACTGCTTTGTTCAAGTCTTTATACAACAAGGTTGAAGCCTAGTTGAGAGGAGGGCTCAGAGAAGCCTGGCTAGAGTTTGGTCAAAGAAAGAATCTTTGTCACTATCCTCATTGCCACTACCATCTTTTTTATTTCTACTGCAGATAGGTTACCTAGACGAGGTTTAAGAAGATTGTGGTATGTCTGTTAATTACAGTACTCCATGTCTCACAGCAAAAAGCAGATGTCCGAGTATTAATCAATCATAGTGCCTCTACCCCCAGAAACAAGTGATTAGTCTAACATTAGGAAACCAAAGAGGACAAGTCAGCATCCTTCCCTAAAATTCACATAAGGACAGTAGAAGAAAGAGGTTCTTTTTCCTCTGAGTTGGCTAACCTGAGCTGACATCAGACAGGAGCCATCATCAATCATGTTCTTAAACCTCATAGAGGTGACCTATCTTTAGTAGAAAAAAGATGGTACCGGGAATAAGGGTAATGACAAAGATTCTCTCCTTGACCAAACTGTAGCCAGGTTCCTCTGAGCACTCTTTTCAACTAGGCCTTAAACTTGGCCTATAAGGACTTGAACAAAATACTAACATAATTTCTAACAGCTCAAAGCCATATCCCTCTTAAAGTGCCTGCCTAAGAAAACTCAAGGTTGCCCCAAAAATGTACTGTTGATTTCAGCCAACATCTGGAAGGGTAGGAGCCAGTTAGAAAACCCAGATGGGTTTCACATGGACCAACCCCACCTTCCTGCTTTTTGTAGTTTTTCACTTCCCTAACTCTACTGGGCCACTGCATCCAGTCACCTCTGTACAAACTGAAATTGAGTTCAGTTCACGCTGGACTCTTTTCCTTATTGCAATAGTATATTACTGATTAAAATCTATGCTTACTGCTTTAACTAGTGTCTGGTTTTGTTTATCTTTGACAGTAGGGATAGGATCTTTGAACATTCACTTCCTAGTTACATAAGCCAATAAATTTCCTCTTTTGCTTAAGCTAGTTGAAGTTGGATTTCTGTTATTTACAACCAAAAGACTTAGAAGATCTAATCAGAACAACAATAACAAAAAGTTGGAAAGGTATATATAAATAAGGGTGACAAAAAGAGGTATGAAGTAATGAGTGAAAGAAAACAGATAAAGCTGTCTAATAGAGGAAATGGATTTAGAATGAGTCAGTTCTAGCAATGAGTCAAAGACAGCTGAGCTACATAGGATCTCTAAGAATATCACAACAAATCTGATATGATTGTAGATGCCAAATATATTAAGAAGAAGAAAGGAACTCATTGAACCCTAAATCTCAGCTTGATTCCAAATGTATTAAAGTAAAAGATACGTCTGTAAGCATAACAAAATATAGTATATTTTGAAAATAATTTGCATCTCTCAGAAATTATTCCAACTGCAATGCCACCTACTTGGTTTGGAACCACAGCCCCCATTCTACAAAACTGGGACATTTGCCAGAGGAAGAGATAGACTACATGGTGGAAAGGCTCTCATGAGGGAGAGAGCATTTGTTAAGGTTCCATAGCACGTACGTCTCACAGTTTCATAAATGGAGGCTAAAGTAGCTGGCTAATTGTGAGCCAGTATATGCTACCAGGGAAATCTGAAACAATTCTGTAACATAGATCAAATTCCCCAGAAAAAAAAAAGTACTTGCTGATAACTGCTATCCCCTAGGACAAAAACTACAATTTCAATTAGTCTGACAGCACGATAACTAGTTTCCAGGAAGTTAAACCTAAGGAAACTAGTTTCCAGGAAACTACACCTAAGGAAGTTTCTCTAAGGGTCTGCCCCTTGTATACTCTGAGAAACCTCCTTACTACCTAAAACATTTTTTCTTTTGTTTAAAGTAGATCAAGGGTGCCAAGTCAAAAAAGTGGATTTCCTATCATTTTTATTATCTGTATTAATAGTCTCTTAGATTAAGACTTGTA